CGAGACAGAGTGGGAAGCAGAACAGGCAGATCGATGAGGTACACTGCTGAGGGGAGCAGCGGGCAGGTCAGGAGAAGTCTGCCACGCCATGTGGGTCACCTCCGGGGCCGGGAATCAAATTTGTGCTGCAGTGGCTTCAGAGAGCTTCATAATGCAGTGTTGTAACCCATTGCGCCACCAGGGAGAGCCTGGAAAACACCCCTTTGAGAAGCAAAGTTTAGATAAAGTTGTCTTCAGTGTGATGTCTGGTGTCAGGACACATGATAAAGCAGGGGATGATTGCTTGTGAGGATGACTGGGAACTTTCATTTCTCCCACACTTCAGTCCTGTTAGGCAGGTAGGACAGAGCAACAGCACCAAAGAGTGAGCTCAGGTGAGGGGGGCGGTGGTAGGAGGAGCCAGGTCACCTCTGGAAGTGCCACCAGGGAGGCCTCAGTGTCCCCATGAAATCTCAGTTCTCTAACTTCAAACAATTCAGGATTTCAAACAATTCCAAAGATTATGCTCAGACACGTTTTTCTTAGACAGATGCACGCAACATGTCCACACACCCATAAACTCACATGCCTCAAGCTTCTGTTTCTCTTCTAGCACAGACTTTTTAGAGGAGGTGCCTCTTGGAAATGCTATCACTGAGGCAGTTTTTGAGCTCAGGGTCTGTCCAGGGCTGGGTAGTAGTCTCCTGCTAGTCTCTGTAGGACATTTGATGCCTCCTGTTACAATGCAAACTGGCCAGAAAACACAGGAGCTGAGTTTTATGAGCTGGTGTGAGGAACTTTAGCTCTGAGATTCCATCTGAAAGTGTCTTCTCTCTTCTTGTCAGATCTTTGACTCTGATAATAAAAGGTACGAAGTCCCAATGCCTCTGAACATCCCTCCATCTCCCATCGGCTCCCCCGAAAACCGTCTGTACAACGTCGTCATTCAGAACAATCCTTTCGGGATCAAGATTCAAAGAAAAAGCTCCAATACTGTGATGTAAGCACTTCTTATTGGCTCTGATTAGGGCGGGTCGAGGTCGAATTCCAGGGGTTCTAATTAATGCACAAGAAATAGTCATTGTAAAGACTCTTTATAAAAGTGCATGCTTCACTAGAGGGTACATCTACTTCCACCTACTTGTGCCTGCAGAGACTTAGTTTTCTATTAGTGCTACATTGACTCAATAAGAAAATGAATCAATCTGAGGTTTACAAGAGTGAAATGTTGCTTGCTGCGTGATAGAAAGGTACTCTGCACTCAACACGCCTGCTGTATTGAACAGAAAATCCTGTTTATTGAGAACAACAGTAACTTAGGAGAGGTCAGTCCCATGAGCCTCCATCTAAGCACGAGGAGTGGGAGTCAGCAGAGAGCAACACAGGTGACTCGGGACAGAGAAATGGCTCCCTACAGACATGGCTGACTGTCTTTCCATGATGTTAAGTATGAAAGAAGTTGTCTCTCACACGCTTGTCACTGCTGAGTGGAAGGATGTGAAGGTCTGCAGTTGGCCTGGGACTGGACTGAAGTCCCCCGCCCAATGGAAGCTGTCCCCCTTGTGAGCCTCTGGGCAGCTGTGGGCTCTCTGACCACATGTCTGATTTTCTGCCCGTTGCCTTCTTGGTGAGAGGCCCTTTGGCCAACCCAGAAAAGTCATTCTATGATTTTCTGCCTGTTGCCGTCTTTGGTGAGCGGTCCTTTGGCCAACCCAGAAAAATCATCTAAGCTTCTCCCCCTGTTGGAAATTCCACTTAGACTATACCCATTGAGGCCCACATCTGTGTCAGCTGATGTGCCCGGCAATGCGAAGTAGCAGTGAAAAGGTGACTGACGCACGGTCCTTCTCCCCAACCCTCAAGGCCATGACCCAGAAGAGGGATTCTCAGCCTTGCAAACTGCCCACTGAAAATACAAACCAGTGCCCCCGTGGGGAGTCACAATCGTTACGTCCTGATTGGGTATTCCCATGGTATTGGAACGTGTATATATACATGTGCAGTCCCTCAGGATTCTTAGTCGCTGGGGAGCCCGATGTGCCTGTCTTTGCTCTGGCCTGAGGTCAGCTCAGCAGATGTGTCTCTGTGTTGCAGTTGGGACTCCCAGCTCCCTGGCTTCACCTTCAACGACATGTTCCTTTCCATTTCCACTCGGCTCCCCTCCCACTACATCTATGGTTTGGGGGAAAGTGAGCACAAAACTTTCAGAAAAGACATGAACTGGAAGACGTGGGGAATGTTTGCTCGTGGTGAGCCACCAGCGGTAAGATGGAAAAATATGATGCTCAGTCAGTTCCTTGCTTTGTAAGTTTGTTTTAATCATAAGCCCTGGATGGCGCCCCATGAATCAGCCTTACCTTATATTGACAACTTCTGCTCTCAGATGAAATAAATCACATGGTATGTGCTCTTCTCAAAATAAAAAGTTCCTCTGTGATTATAAGTTTTATTTAGTTAATATACTTTTAATATGTTCGGTGATTCAGGCACACATAGAATAAGATACTGTCTTATCTAATGATGCATGGTGTGCGTTTTCCTGAGGCTTGGGGATTAATGAGTAGAGACATGCAGAAATAGCGGCAGCTGTGTCATGCGTGCTGTTGTAGGAGTCTAACAAACCAGGAGGGCGGAGGGGAGGCCGCTTAGCCATTTACCTGGGGCTGGAGGGGGAGGGTCCAGGAATTCCGGATAAAGGACATGACATTGTAGCTTCCTGCCTGAGTGGTCCCTTTCTCTTTGGGTGGTGATAGGGCCATAGTCTCTTGCATTTGCACTTTCTGATTGTCCACCTTCTCTTCCCCATGACTCCCCCAGAACGAGAGGAACTCCTATGGCGTCCACCCCTACTACATGGCACTGGAGCAGGATGGCAATGCCCATGGAGTGCTCCTGCTGAACAGCAATGCCATGGGTAAGGTGCCAGCACCCGGTCCCCTACATGGCTGTGGCCCCTCTATTGGGGTCTGAAATAGCAGTAGAAATTGGGACAGTTTAGGGCAAGAGAAATGAAACATGTGAACTGACTTTCAGTCATTTATTCAAATGTATTAAGAGCCCTTGCTAAGAGGTGTCGGGACTAAACTTTGACTAAATAGATTCCCTTTCTTATGTGACCTTGTTTTACTGTGACACTTTCACTCCTTCTTATGAGTGATACAAGGCTGATATTATGTTTTGGGTCCCTGCAAACCCATCTCCAATTCCAATGCACGAAAGAAGACTTTCTAGAGGAGGTGGGCATTCAAGAGCATGGAAATGGAAAAGCTGGGGTAGAGTCCCTATCTCAGTGATTCACAGTCCCATGGATTTTTAATGTTTGTTTTTTTTAACAGATGTGACTCTCCAGCCCCTCCCTGCACTGACGTACCGGACCACAGGAGGGATTTGGGACTTTTATATGATTTTGGGACCAACTCCAGAGCTTGTCACTCAGCAGTACACCGAGGTTGGACGTCATCCTGTCCCGTCGCAGAGATAGATGAGACATTAGGTAGACAGGTGGACAGACAAATAGATCTATAGAGAGATAGATTCTGTCTTTATTATAACCCACAAATGTTACTGGGAATTGCCATGTTCTTAGCCCTGAGGCAGGACAGTGTTTTTTTTCCTGACCCTTGGTGTCTCTGCTGTATCGCTCCTATCTGTCCTGAAAGTCAAGCTTCTATGTTAAGACCTGACACTTACATATTGAAACCTCATATCTCTCAACTACTTGTTAAGTAGACTTTCTAAGAATGTCTAATCTGTAATAACCACTGAGTAGAGTAACTGTAATAACTTCCTGAGTGGAAGCTGTGAAGTACAGGGGGATCCTCTATCATCCTGCATCCCCAGGGTGGTTCCACATTTATATATTGGCCTGTCTTAAATAAGGCCTGTTAGAACAGACTGTTCTCAGTAGAATTTCTCACATCACCTCAAATATAAGCCAGTCATCTCTTCTTTCCTAAGAAGTTTACCTGGACCCACTTTTCTGCTTTATTCTAGTTGATCGGCCGGCCGGCAATGATTCCATACTGGGCTTTGGGATTCCAGCTGAGCCTCTCTGGACTCCAGAATAACACTGAAATCACCAGTTTCCATCAAGAAATGATGAAAGCTAATATTACTTTTGTATGAAACCCACACTTCACCCTGGTTAAACTAGTCATGAGAATGCATAGCCAATTATAATTGAAAATATCTTTTTGGAAATTATTGATGACTAGTTTAGTATAAAGAAAATGTAGTTAGTCCTATGTGGAATACATGCTTTATAAATTTGTTTCGTGCTTCCCTTTTAAATCAAGGGTTCAAAATTGAGAGTTGTGCCTATCCTTCAGACCTTAGCTGTACAACTGGAAGATGTTGTCACTCACTGCCTCTTGCTAGGACTATCCCAAAATAGTCTTTATGACTGGACTTAGATCATGACTCTGGGGACTCCTAAGTAAGACTTGCGTGGCAATGATGACAATTTTAGGAGGTTATATTGAGCTGATTCTTGGAGAAAATGGTTGTAAAGTGACAATGTAAAGACAGCAATGGAAACCAAGTCTTTACCTTCTCTAAAACACATGCAGGAAGCAGAGGAGAATGAACAAGCACAGGTGATTCCTATGCTGGAATCAGAAAGCAGTTTCAGTTATCAGAATTGAAAAGTCAGTCTAGAAGGGTGATGCGCTGGATGGGACGGACCTGCCTTGGGCCGACCAGCAGCGTCCTCTGTGTGCCGAAGGGGTACTGCAGCAGACCGAAGCACCTTTTTGTTCTTTGTAGGATGTCCTGCATGTAGGCCCCAATTACAGAGACCGGAAGCTAGACTTCACCCTCAGCCCCAACTTTCAAAACCTCGGTTTCCTGATTGAGGACATGAAGAAAACGGGCACGAGATTTATTCTTGTTCTGGTAAGTATTTCAGTAGATATGGTTCCATTTTTATATGTTCATGGTCCAAAGATTATACGATTCATGGAAACTATGTGATGGGTACATGAGGCTACTCTATAGTTTTCACAACTTTCTGTGATTCTTTAATTATTTTTTAAATTTTTACAAGTGTGTAAAGGAGGAAAGAACAAGTGCAAAATGGCTTTAAAAGATGACATTTCCCGTATTTATTTTTCATAACTGAATGTTACCAGGACACAATTTCTCTGTTGCTGTTCTCTTGCTGGTTAGGAAAACTGAGATATTGCAGAGAGGAAAAAGTCTGTTTCACACTAAGTCTCAGAGAGAATAACTATCCTAGTCTCCTGTTTCTGTCAGGGGGGTTGGAACTTCTTAAATTGCATCATTACCCAGCAGCAGAAGGCTCAGGGGACTTATTTCTTCTTTATTAATATTTCTTCTTAATTAAAGTCATAAGCAGATCAGGAATAACAGTTATTTTGCGCTGACATCTACATCTTGATAAACAGAAGTGGGGTGGTTACTCGCAAATGGCCCTCCCTTCTGGCTGGCAAAAAAAACTAGAAAGTAGATCATTATTTGCTGACTTGGTTCACTCATTCATTTTTTCATGTATTAATGAAACACTGGGTCTGAAAATTGCTGTTCTAACTAAAAGGTGTGTGTGAATAATCTAAACTAATGAATAAGTTAATGTCCTTTTTCTGATAGGAAATTGATTCTGTTGGAAAGAGACAGACGATATAAATAAACCTAAAGACAGATAATTTCAGTTGGAGATGACATTCACAGCAACTGCAAGATAGGAAACTATTCATAAGACTAATTGGGGTTGGGGGGGGCTTGGGATGGGGTAAACGGGAAGGCCCCTTTGGATAGACAGGTTGTCCACAGAATAGAAAAAGAAGTTTCCCATTCTCAGGCCTGCTGCTATCACACCTTAAAAGGAGGGTAAAGTAACTTTCCCCACTCCAGGGTAATATCTTCTTAACCTGGTTTAACATACTTTCCTTCCTCAAGAATTGCAAAGGGATATATCAATAGATTATTTTATTTTTCAGCTACTCAACATAAGTCAGGTTTTCCATGGGTTCCATTTTTGCAGTGAGATCTTTCTGTACTGTAAATTGTTATGATTTTGGAGAGGAATTTTCTTGAAGACATTTTTCTTATATTTTCTGTGTTAAACTCTTTCATTGTAGGATCCAGCCATTTCTGGCAACGAGACTGCATACCCCACATTCAGAAGAGGGCAGGAAAATGATGTTTTCATCAAGTGGCCCAATAGCAATGACATTGTCTGGGGAAAGGTAAGCCCTGGGAGAAGGTGCCTGTGGTTAATCTACTTCATAGTGTCTTGACTAAAAGATTCAATCTTGGCAAAAGCTACTGGCTCATTAATAAGTTATGAATGAATAGAAATTCTTCTGATACTGATTAATGCAACATATGTTTCTAACAGCAAGGTTACAGTCTAATCCTCTCAGATATCAGTGAGCTAGAAATATTCTAGAACTATTGTCTGGAGATAGTCTGATGCTCTACTCCTCATGTATTCCAGCTGGTCATGGACGACTGGCACCATTCTTTATTTGCCTAGAATTTAGGATTTAGCAATCACAAAGGACCCCACTGAAGATAACTCCCAGTCACAACACTCAGAACTTGCTCTCATCTTAGTCCTATGATGGCTTAAGCAGCCTCCTTATCTAAATAAATCCTGTAAATTCTCTCCCTTTCCTCTTGTTTTAATTCCTTTTGGTGGCCTCAATCTTACCTTCATTGTTTGATTAGAGCAACAAGATTTTAGTGAACTTCCTGACTCTTAGCCAGGACTCAAGTTCTGCTCTCTAATTACACTATGCTGTCTCCTAGCACGCAGGGGACTATGAACGTTTGAAAATTGTCTTCGTAATTTGCCCAAGTCATATCTTCTCTTCAAGACCAAATCAAAGTTCCCTCTGAGGACGCATTCAGTGTCCCTCAGCTCTCCTGCGTCTCCCCTTTCTATACTATCCTCAGTGTATCACATACCACAAGCACTTAGCTCCCGTCTCTGAGCTCTTTGAATAGGAGTATTTTTCACTTAAGTCTTAGTAGATAAACTTTGTTTAAAAAAAGATTTCATTTATTTGTTTATGCATGCATGCAGGCACTGGGGTGTAGGCCAGAGGTGGGAGGATTCCCCAGAGCCAGAGTGGGGAGCAGAACAGGTAGATCTGCTGCTTAAGGGGAGCAGCAGGTGAGACAGGAGAGGTCTGCTGCACCATGTGGGTATCCTCCCTGGCTGGAGATTGAACTCAGGCCATAGGGGTTATAATGCTGAGATTTAACCCTAAGCTACCAGGGAAGACTCAGTCGATAAATTTTGTAAAGAGAGCCTTGCATGTAGTAAGTATTTGGTGAATTAATGAGCTAATCAGTAGAGATAGTTAATGCCCATCTAGTTAATAGGTGAAACTGGTCAATATTTTGTGACAAGAAAATGAAAGTGAAGTACTTTCTCATGTGTACCTTTAATGGCTTATGTTTTGTTTAAATCCAAGAATATGCATATACTTAGGGTCCCTACCAAGTCATGATGCTGCTTAAAAGTAGTGAAGCTGGGCCCTCCCTGGTGGCGCAGCCGGTTAAAGCTCAGCACTGAGAAGCTAAAGCCACTTCCACATGAGTTCGATTCCCGCCTGCCCCACAGGTGACCACATGGCGCGGCAGACCTCTCCTGACCCGCCCGCTGCTCCCCTCAGCAGTGTACTTCATCGATCTGCCTGTTCTGCTCCCCATTCTGTCTCTGGTGAAGGCTCTTGCCGCCCGAGTCTCTGGCCTGTACCCCAATTCTGTATGAACAAATAAATAAATCTTAAACAAACAAACAAACAAAAGTAGTGAAGCTGAACCCTGCTTGGTGGTGCAATGGATTAAAGTGCAGCACTGCAAGCTGGCTGCAGCCGCTTCAGTGCACATTCGAACCCCAGCCCCAGAGGTAGCCCACACGGAGCAGCAGACCTCTCCTGACCTGCCCACTGCTCCCCTCAGCAATGTGTTTCATTAGATCTGCCTTTTGTGCTCCCCACTGTCTCTGGTGAATCCTCTCACCACCCCTGCACCTCTCACCTGTACCCCAGTTTTGTATGCACAAATAAATAAATCTTGAAAAAAAAAGTAGTGAAGCCTATGGGTTGTGAATGAAAATCAATCTTATTTCTTATAGGCACAGCTCACATGGGTTATTTATAAAGGGAGCGTTGCTGTGGGTCTCTGGCAGGCGTCTAGGGCACTGGTAATCTGAGAGAGGGCTGCTTGGGGATAGATCTAACAGATTTAGTTTATCATTAATTTCAAAAGTGAAATTTCAGAAACTTAAAGGATGTGTCTAGAGACTGAAGCCTATGTTTCACCTAAGAGAATTTCATATATTCAGACCTTTCAGTTTGATGGCAAAGGCTCCCCTGGGTTTTGTGGGGCTGGTTGTCAGGATAGTGTGTCGTGTGAAACAACTCGCGGCCCACGTCCAATGCCTTTCAAGGTTTGAGGTGTTTTTCTCTCTGTCTAGACTTGTCCATTACTGCCTGGCGTGACTGTGGATGAATCCCTTGACCATGAAACTCAGGTTAAGGTAAGGCACAGAGACTTTGCTCTACATTGCCCTTGACGTCTGGATACGTACGAGTTAGTTAGTTTTATCCTGAGAATCATGTATGTAGTGCTAAGTTGAGAGTGTTTGTCAACAGGTAATTTTTTTGGCTAAAACAGATGGTTGAAATATGTAAAGGGAAATCAAGGGCAATAGGGCAATGCTCCTTTTCATGTGCACCTTCACTGGCGTGTGTTTTATTCATCTCCATTGTTGTTTGAAAAATAATGGGCAAATGTCCAGGCTGTTTTCACTGGAGATATGAGCAGACTGGGTTTTTTTTTTTTTTAAAGATTTATTTATTTATGCATGAGGCGCAGGGGCCATGAGAGGATCTGCCAGAGACAGAGTGGGGAGCAGAACAGGCAGATTGTCGAAGTACACTGCTGAGGGGAGCAGCGGGTGGGTCAGGAGAGGTCTGCTGCGCCATGTGGGTCACCTCCGGGGTGGGGATTGAACTCATGCTGAAGTGGCTTTAGCTTTTTGTGCTGTGCTTTACCCCGCTGCACCACCAGGGAGGGCCCCAGACTGGGTTTTGACGAATGGTCTATATTCTAGAGAGAAGGAGGAATGTCCTTCCTGGAACTGATGCCACGTCAGCCAGCGTATCTAGCCTCCTCGCCAGTCTTTGTCCTGGGTGACTGGTTTCCTTCATTTAACCAGTATAGAAAAGCATTTTTATCTCTGAAGTCCCAATGTTTAGACAGCAGCAATTCAATTTCCAGTTCATAGAGCTAATTGTCCTGTCATATAATGAAACCCAGCTTGAAAAGGAATTGAAGACTGACCTACTTCCAGGAAAATAAAGAATAAGATCAGTCTTCCCTAACCTTTTTGTGTCCAGCAAACTTGAAGCCCCAGTGCAGAGCTGAGGTTAGGTTAGGTGTCTTTGCCAAACATCTGCTCATCTCCCTGCTGTGGATGGGCTGAGACCCAGCGGGGGAGTATGTGTGATTCTTGCAGCTCTCCAGAGCCCACGTGGCTTTCCCTGACTTCCTCCGTAAAAGCACAGCTGCGTGGTGGAAGAAGGAAATAGAAGAGCTCTATGAAAACCCTGGAAAGCCAGAGAAGAGCTTGAAGTTTGATGGACTGTGGATTGTGAGTGTGTCCTTGGGTTTGGAAATCTAAGCAACCAAAGCATGGAGAGGCAATTCAGAGACCAGCAGGGGCTGGGACTGGAGGAATGGGAGGGAGGGCTCTTTGTCATCGAATTAGGCTCCTGGGATCTCTGTGAGGTCATGTCCTCCCTGGCAGAGACCACTCAGGGAATCTCTTTTGCTTACTCATTTCAGGATATGAATGAGCCATTGAACTTCGTGAATGGATCTGTCAGGGGCTGCAGAGATGAAGTTCTTAATAAGCCACCCTACATGCCGTGTATGTAAATAACTCCCTTGCTTAAAAGCTCTGAAAGGTTTCCTTTTATTGTCAAACTAGAACCTAATTTTGGAGAGAGAAAATTCTCTCAAACATGTCATAAAACCTCAAATAGAATATCTTGAATAAGTACAAATAAATGAGTTATTAATTAAGTCTAGAAATAGTGACAGGCTGTGGTAAGATAGAACCCAAACAGTGCAAGCCCCCCTCCCACCCCACCCCCATCACAGTGAACTGATTGCTCAAGCTACACATACCCTTGTTTCCCAACCTCCACCTCCCCCGCTCCGCCCAATTTTTGACTATAGAATGACATGAGTGTCTGGTCCAAGCATTTTTATGGACCCTTTAGCACACTCTGATTATCCTGTGAAACAAATAGAACCTTGCCAGCAAAGCTATCTTGCAAAATTGAATCCTCCCACCTCACAGAAATGCTGGAAGGAAGTGACTCACCTTTTAAAAACTACTTAACCAGGAATTCATGGGACAGAATCTGGAACCCAAGTTTCTGGAGGTCTAAGTCATGGCTGTGCTGTCTTGTTCTTGGACTCACTCACGGCCCCTCTCACTTCCCTTCTCCCTTCTTTTCCTCGCCCCTCTTCCTTCCCTGACCCACCCTTCCCCCCCCACTCTCCTCCTCCCTCCCTTTTATTTTCTGTCACCCTTCCTGCCCCCCTTTTCCTCCTTCCTCCTTTAATATTTGTGTGTCGCACAAGTGCTGACAAACTAGATAGATTCACAGACATAAATACAGTATCTATTCCTTGAAAACAGCACTATCTAGTGGAAACGAGAGTTCTAACAGGACTTTATTGTGTTGATGAACAGGCTGTGATAGCGCTCCATAAACATTAGAATTGGAGTAAAAAGAAGGGTATACTCCCAGCTCTAGATGCTGTTCTTGTGCTTTATTAGCTATTAAGTCACGGGGCATGATTTGGTAGACAAAAAACAGCTGGAAATTGGAGCAAGTTATTGCCAGAAACAAATGCCGAGACCTGGGGCGTGGTGAGGGTCTGGAGAATAACTTGGCGTCTCCTCTCAGTTTTGGGCTCCAGGGACAGAGCTCTGAGCAGCGGGACCCTGTGCATGGACAGCGAGCAGGTGCTGCCGGATGGCTCCCGCGTGCAACACTATGACGTGCACAGCCTGTACGGGTGGGCGCAGGCCAGACACACGTACGAGTGAGTATGGCTTTTGTCACTGGCACGAAGGATCACTGTCCACATTGCTGCTTTTGTCATACACTTATTGAGCTTGATCAACGTGATGTCACCTCATGCATGGATGTCAAAGTATCAGGCGTGGTTGCTCACACAACCACAGCACCGCGGGAGCTTGTTGAATTCACTTATTGCAGGTAGGCAAGGTGTTTGATGTGTTTCTAGGTTGGTTCTGCAGCCAAATTTTAGAATGTTTGCATTGTCAGGACAGGGAAATCCTCTCGCGGTAATCACAGCCCCTGCCCATCTGCCTGAGCCCAGTCACCTCTGACCTGCTTCCCGTCGCTGCGGGTGGGCTCGTCTGTAGGTGTCAACCCAGCTGTGATGATTGTGTCAGCCCCTCATTGGTTTAATGTCTGCAAGGTTCATCCACATGTCAGCACGCACAGCCCTCAGTCCACTTGACTCCTGCGTATTCCATTGTATGGAGAGTACATTTGTTCGCCTGTCAACTACACATATAGATGGTCCCCACATTTTGGCTATTATGACTAATTAAGGTATGAATATTCATGGGCAAGTTTTTGAAGGACATGTTTCTGTTCTCTTGGGATGTATATCAAAGGTTGTAATTTCTAAAATTATGTGTTTCGTATTTTGAGAAAATACCAAACTAGTTCCAAAGCATTTTGCAGCATTTTACATGCCCACCAGAAATGCATGAGGGTCTTGATTTTTCTGTGTCCTCCCCAACACTTATTATTGTTCACATTTTAAATTAGAGTCTCTCTCATGGGTATGAATTATAGCTCGTTGTTGCCTTGACTCACTTTTCTGGTGACTGATATTATTGGACATCTTTTCACATGCTTGTAAATGGTCTTTGAAAAAGGTCTATTCATGTTTTTGCCCATTTGTTCTTTTATTATTGAATTGTAAGAATTCGTTTTCTATTTTGGATACAAATCCCTTGTGAGATATATGATCAGAATATATTTTCTCTCATTCTGTAGACTCTCTTTTCACTTTGATGACAATACCCTTTGAAGCATAACCATTTTTACTTTGATGACATCTAATTAATTAATTCATGCATGCATTATTTTTTTTCGCTGTGCTTCTGATGTTGCATTTGAGAAACTTGTCTAACCCAAGGTCATGAATACTTTTATTTTTTCCCCAAGTTTGATGCATCATATGTATTTAAACCTGTGATCCATTTTCTGGTAATTTTGTGGATGGTCTGAGTTAGAGGTTCAAATTCATCTTTTGTATGTGGATATCCAGTTGTTCCAGTGCTGTTTGTTGAGAAAAGTATACCCATCAAATCATTTCAGCATCTTATCAAAAATCAGATGACCATAAAGAAGGCTTATTTCTGGATTCTAAATTCTATTTCGTTGATCTATGTTGCTCTGTTTTGATTAGTGATGTCTGGTACTTTAAATTTGTTCTTCTGTTGTCAAGGTTGTTTTGGCTATCCTGGGTTCCTTTTATGTGATGAATAAGCATCAGCTTGTAGATTTCTTTATCTTTGAGATTTGGGGAGTACTTGCTACCCTAACAATATTGAGTCTTCTGATCCATTAATATGGACTGTTTTTCCATTTCCTTAGATCTCCCTAATTTCTTTCAATAATATTTTGTAATTTTCAGTGTATACATTTTTGATCAATAGTTTTCTAAATATTTTCTGCCCCCTTTCCTTTCTTTATCCCTTTCAGATTCCAATTATGTGTATATTGGTACCTGTGAGGAGGCTCCATTTACTTTTCTTCACTCTTTTTCTTTCTGTTCCCAAAGTGGATCAATTTCAGCAATGTATCCTCAAATTTGTTGATTCATACAACTACTAGCTCAACTCTGATATTGAACCTATTCAATATCAGTTTTTATATTTGGCCCGCTTTAAAATAATTTCAGTGATTTTATCGATGTTCTCTATTTAGTGAGACATTGCTGTTATGCATTCCATTAATTTTCTAGTTGTAATTTCCTTTAGTTCTTTGGCCATTTTTGTAACATCTAGCTTAAAATCCTTGTCCACTAATTGCCCAACATCATTTCCTATTGCCTCTGTGTACACACATAATTCCTTGATTCTTTGCATGACTTAGTGGTTTTGTTTAAAATTGGGCATTTTACATAATAAATTCTAACGACTGGCCTAAAAATATCTCCCCTAATTTCACCCAGACCCTACCTCTATGTAGACATGCAGTTAATTAGACTTTTATAAAGAAAGTACATGACTGAGGGGTACATAAGGACCCCAAACTGTTAAGGAATACACCTGTGACTAGGGCCTGGCCATCTAGCACAGCCAGGCAAAGAAAGCATACTCTTGGGATGAAAGATTTTTGATAGACTTGGGATGGAGGCAAAGAGACAAAGAAAGAGAGAGAAGGGAGGAAGGAGAGAAAAGGGGGGAAAGAGAAAAAGAATGAGAGAATTCCGAGCAACAGTTTCCCAGTGCAGCTCTAACACTACCCATCTCCCTGTAGCAAATGCCCAGCTACTATAGGCTTGACCTGAAAGGGTTCACTAAGGCCCAAGAGCTTGCTGTAAGCCAAATATACCTCTTGGTGGGGAACCACAATAGAAGGGGTTAGACAGGTCTCAGAGAGATGGGACGGGAGAGACCTAGAATCCCAACCATACTATCTAATCCCCGACAGTTGAAATAACAACTTCATTATCTCTTCCAAGGACATGGAGCAGCCCCCGCCCATGTGTCTCTCATCCACATGTCTCTTCCAAGTGTCTCTGCATGCGTCTTCTCCACATATCTCTTTCACCATGTGTCTCCTTCCTTCACCCTTCAGCCCACCACCATTTATATATCCGCCTGTCCAGTGGCTCCCTTTCAGGAGGTCCAGGTCATGGGACTTGTAATCCAAGGTGGCTGTGCATCCATGGGGGCAGAATTGGCACCACTGTACTGTGGTGATCATCCTCCTTTCATGAAGGTGCATCCTGTAGCAAGTGGGGTCCACCTTTAGGTGGTAATAGACCTCCAGTCATCCTGCTGTGAAGTCCACTGAGTCTCAGCATCCTTTTTAAGTAGCAGCTGCTTCCAAGAAGCTCTCTGCTCAGAATGGAGCACTAGGGCTGCTTCATGCCCCAGCTGAAGCTACTCTCTGCAATGAGGTTTGCGAACCAAAAAGGAACCAGGCTATAATGTAATCAAGGTCATCACCCATGTCCAAGACTAAGGGGCTGTCACAAGGTGTGTTCCACCAGGGTCAGGGCATTGGGGAATGCTACCGTGTCAAGCAAAGAAGTGGTCTGAGTTCAGTTTCTTTGTTTTGCAAGTTTGGGGTTGAATGACAAGTCTGGAGATAAAATACTGCAGTGTAAGACCTTGTATAACCATCAGCAGAGGCTTCTTTTCCTTCCATAGTCTCCAATAAGGAGAAAACCAGGAACGGCTGAGTTAAGCTGCACTCGATGACTCACCCAAGAGTCTCAAAATGGCCATGAGAGACAAGATGGAGTCTATAAGATTCAGAGTAGATTTCACAAGTGCCATGACTATCCACCCTCAAATTCAGCTTCTCTTAAAAATGAATGTTTCTTATTGAAGTAACGTTTCATTATAACATTATGTTAGCTTCAGCTTCAGTTCACCTCCTTGTTTTCCTCCAACCAGAGCCGTGCAGGAGGTGACAAGACAGCGAGGGGTCGTCATCACCCGCTCCACTTTCCCCTCTTCTGGCCGTTGGGGAGGTCACTCACTGGGGGACAACAAGGTCACGTGGCAGCAGATGAAAAAATCTATCATTGGTATGTGTGCCAGTTCCCAGGACCTCCGCTGGCAGAGAGCACCAGGGCTGTGTGCTTATTGCTGTGTTGACTGTGTCTAATCATCACTGCATGTGAACAGTGAAATCAACAGGAGCTGAGTTATAGGTGTGGATTTTAGTCTTTATCTCTGTGTCAACAATCTCATCCTAAGTGGTCCCAAGGCTTTCGATGGGTTACTGGAGAGACAGGTCTAACCTACCCTCTTGAAGGGCTGCATTGTCACAACTCACAGCTGTATTTTCTCATTGCAGAGATGATGGAGTTCAGTCTCTTTGGAATACCTTATGTAAGTTATATTGGGTCCATTGCTGGTTATCTAGTTGGACTTCAATATGTCTGTCACCCACAAAAGTTCCACACCCACGCTCTGATTTTGCACTCTATCAGACAGGAGCAGACATTCGTGGTGACTTACTTGGAGATGATGGCAATGAAATGTATGCTCGCTGGATGCAACTGGGGGCCTTTTACCCACTTTCTAGAATGCACATTGGGTCAAAGGTGAGACACCAGCTTATGCTTCAGGTGTTCGGTCTCCTCAAATCAGAACTCCTTTCTAGCCATTGAGTATCATACTTCATTGAGAAAAAACATAAAAATAGAGAGTCTCTATACCTTGGAAATCCATGAAGTTTAAAACCCTAGAGTTATAAGAGGCAATTTAAAAAAAAATATTTTATTTACTTATGCATACAAGAACTGGGGTACAAGCCAGAGGTGCAGGGAGTGAGAGGCCTCACCAGAGATAGAGTGGGGAGCAAAACAGGCAGATCTACTGAAATCCACTGCTGAGGGGAGCAGGGGGCGAGACAGGAGAGGTCTGCTGTGCCATGTGGGTCAACCCCCTGGCCGGGGATTGAACTCATGCTGTAGTTGCTGCAGACAGCTTCGTAGTGCTGCGCTTTAACCGATTGGCGCCCCCAGGGAGGGTCCATTCGGAGGATATTTTATGGCTTCCTATATAAAGCAAAAAGAGAAGTTCCCTTTGCTTTCAACAATTTGAATTTGTGTTTCACTCCATTACATTCAAGTACTGCATAAAGACCCATCCTTCAAATGTGGACACAAGGCTAGACCTGGACAGAGGATGTAGGCGTCCATCATACAAATAGGAGGCGAGTTCTCCTTCCGTAGATGGCTGGAGTGGGGGAAGGGCAGGACGCAGGTGTATAGCCTACAGAAGGGACAAGTGCTTGCTATCCTTTGCTGGTACCACGAACATCGAGTGAATCAGAGGTCACCTGTCATCTGCTCCTTTATTCCTTCAGTGGCAACATCCTGTGGCCTGGGACTTTATGCAATACACAAAGCAAGTCCTCCAGATCAGATATTCCCTCCTACCTTACTTCTACACACTGATGCACAAGGCTCACGTGGAGGGCAGCACTGTCATCCGGCCCCTTCTCCATGAGTGAGTAGCCCCTGTTACCCCAAGTAGCAGACCTGAGCATGTCTGTGAATAACCCTCTGCAACAGTCCTAACAGTACAGATGACGTTTTCATATGTATTTTTTAAGGTTTACAAATGACAATATAACCTGGAACATAGACTCTCAATTCATGTTGGGTCCTGCCATCTTATTCAGCCCGGTGCTGGAAAACGTGAGTCTCCCCTCAGACCTAGAGAACCCCCAGACAATAATCAGGAAAGGCATTTTAAAGATTGTTTGTTAAAACTCACTATTTCTAAAACATAACATAAAACACTTATTTCTAAAGCATGTTTTCCCAGATTTCTACTCACAGCACTTCACACCCGAACTGACTTCTCATTTTTTAGCATCTTTGACACCTTGCATCCTTATAAAGTTAACCTCTTTAAAAAAGTACTTTTCTGTGTGTCTGGAGGTTTTCAGTCAAACATCCTAAAAACTCTTAAAATCATCAATAATAACCTCATTTCTATCTTTCTTATATGGAAAGAATTTTTAAAAATAAAATGAAATATCAGGCTGTTCATCATGATGTGTTGATTTTCTGTTTCAGGATGCTTCTGAGGTCCGTGCTTATTTCCCCAAGGCCCTCTGGTATGAGGCTGGCATCACGGTAAGCTTCCCTATCTTGTCAAGAACAGATTGCTCTGAGCTGGATCGGGGAGGGGCTGGAGCTTTCTTCTGACTTCCAGACACTTATTTTTTTAGGCAAATCATTTCCAGCCTCTCAGCCATAATTGGTTTGTTTAAGTAAAAGTGTCCATCACAGCATAAATAGATAAAACCTGACACCCATATCACTTTCACTTCTCCCCTCCACCCACTCCTGTTCTGGAGAATACAAACAAGTCTATTGCCAGGGCCCTTAGCAAAGCCGAACATCAGGACTCTGCTCCTCAATGCGCGGTCTCCTGCTGAATACCCACCATGCTCCCTGGGAAAGGAAGGGCTGTGAGAGAGCGTGCGTCTGTTTCACCCGTTTACCGTCACCATCCCTTACCTGTATTCTCCCTTCTAGTGGAACCAAAGTAAATCGTGGGGTGAGTGGAGGAATCTGTCCACTCCCCTTAACCACATCAACCTTCACATCAGAGGAGGCCACATCCTACCTTGTCAAAGGCCTGGGCAAAACACTCGTGCCAGGTAAGGTGAAAGGTTTGCTGTCCCCAGGCGGCCCTCTGACCAGAGCTGTGAGGGGCTGAGCCAGATGACAGCCTCTGAGCACCGCCTTAGCAGGGGAGGACGAGCTCCTGACACCACTCTTGGAAAACTGTTGTCTGTAGGTCTGTTCAAATCTCCAGGACAAAAGTTCTCCTGAGGGCAGCAACCTTCACCTCTGCCCTCTGCCCACACTGACAAATGTTGGGAATTTTAAGGGCCACAGTGCTTTGTGATGGTTCTCCAGGAATGAGTGCACCTTCCCGGGTTACCCAAGGAGAGACTATATTTAAGTGCACACACATACACACTTACACACGTGTCACATTAACGAAAACATTTCATGCCCATAAAATAATAGTAACAACACAAAGGGAGAAAAATTAATTTTAACTTTGTGGAATTATCATGGTTTCATGTGAAAGAGGGCTGCGAACCGAGTCTTGAATAATAAATAGGATCTAGATGTATGAAGACAATAGAAAGAGATATTCTGGAAGGATTCCAGAAGGAAAGGTGAATGCGCTGGGTTTAGCCAGCAGCAAACCATACGACTGGAGCATACGCAGGGGAGAGATACACAGAGGGATAAAATATCTGACTGCCAGGTTCTAGTCAGGTCCTGGACCACACAGAGGGAAAAATACTTTGTATTTATTTATTCTGTAGCAATCTGGAAGTTACTGGAAGAATTTTTCTTTTCTCGTGGGGGGCAGGTGTTTCTTTCCAGGAAATTTGTATCTTACATGTTACTTAGAACATATATTTATGTGTGTGTATGTATATATATAAAGTGTATGTGTATCTATACACACATACACACATATATGCACATTACATGTATCTATTTGAAAGTTGAATTTATACCAAATATTTCATTAAAATGTATGTTATTTTCATAGCTTTTAAGTAGCTTGTATTATACTTATTATTAGAATTTTGTGCATTTTTGATGCGTTTTTTAAAATCCCGGGTGAGTAGTAGTTTCAATAAAAGCTGTTCTTCATTCTTACAACCTTCACTTCAGAAAAATAAGTTTTTTTATTTTTATAGCCGAAGAAAATTTATGGGATTGATTGTTGCTTTGGATGAGAATGAGGCTGCCAAAGGTCAGATGTTCTGGGATGATGGAGAAAGCATCGGTGAGTGTGAATGTTCTGGAGAGCTGCGAAAGGCCACATCTTCACCAACACTGGTGTCGTCAGTTCAAAATTTTGTAACCATTCAAGTTGGTATATAGTACATTTCATGGTGGGTTCTTTCTTCTTACTTACAGATGCCTATAAGAATGGAAAGTATTTCTTGGCAGACTTTACAGCATCTCAAGTAAGACTATTTTATTGAATTTTTTAAATTGCTTCCCAATCAGTTATACATTAAATGTTATTAGCTAATGGTGTAAATGTAATATATCTTACTAAGAGGCACTTCCGGCCTTTAGGTTTCTAAATCAGGTCTGTTGATATTAAATAAGGAAGAAATAGTTCTTATTGTGGTGATTTTCTAATGTACCTCACTCTATAAAAATAAAGTTGTAATAATTCTTGTAATGTCCAGGCAGGGAAGGAATGAGTCCTTAAATGTATCACATGTTTCCCATAGATGAAAAAAAACCATTATCTGATGATAAAATTTTGAAAAATTAAAGCTATATGAGCCACCTATTGCACGGTAAGGTGTATAATAGTCTACCTGAATACCTCAGTTGATGTAACAGTATGGAATTTTTTGGCCCCTGGTTGCAGAGTTCAGATTCTGGGCTGAACTTGGCTGATCTTGGCTGGCTCACGTATTTCTGCAGTCAGGCGTGGTACAGTCGGGCTACTTGCATGATCATGGCACACTTCCTCACAACTCTGGGCAGTCATCTGGCTCCTGGATGACCTAAGAAGGTCCTTTTTTCATGTCTGTGTATGACCTTTAGAAAAGAGGAAAATACAGAAGTGAATTGCCTGAGGAATTTTGAAAATTTTCATTTGTACCAATTTGACTAGTATCTCATTAGCAAAGCAAATTCATCTGGCCAAACCCAGAGACAAAGGTGGAATATAATGGCTCATCCAGTGAGGGACGGCCTTGCAAAAGCACGTGGGAAAGGCCCTGGGTGTGTGGGGGTGTGTATGTGTGCATAACTTGTGACTATTTTCCAGTCACTCTACCATGTATACAAAGCGAGTGTATTGACAACCTGTATAGTTTTAGTTGCAGTAGGAAGATCATTCTATGTCTAATCTGGAATCTGCTGGTGTCAATTTTTACCTACTGATTTGCCCTAAGGAAGAGTACACACAGATCTGTTCATGTCTTCTACATGACAGTGCTTCCAGTAATTGAAGATAGCTGCTATATAAACCTTCTGTCTTCTCATCTCCAAATCACAGATCTCTAGACTAACTTCACACTTCCTCAGCTCTGCACTTATACTGGTCAACAAATTTGATTACTTTGCTACAATTAATCTAGATTTCTTTTACAACATAGTGTCCAGGATTGAGAGAATATCTTAGAACTGCACTACCCAGTATCATAGTCACTAGCCACAGGTGGCTAGTGAAATGTGTTATTTGGATGTCACTAGTCTAATTAGAAATATTGTTAAATTCCTTATGACTATTTTTTCCATTGTGTACATGTTGAGACAATAAAAATTTGGATATATTCAATGAAATAAAATATGCTTTAAGATAATTTTCTTCTATTTCCTTGTACTTTTCAAAAGGTGGCAATGAGAAAATTTTAAATTGCACACATAGTTTGTATGATATTTCCGCAGGACAGAAAGGCTTCCTTTTGCAAAGGAATGAACACTTATTTAGCTCATTGACCATTGCCTATTTTTTAGCTAGGTTATATATATATATATATTTTACCATTACTACCTCACATTATGTTATTTAAAAAACAACGTATGTATGAGATGTTGGTATATATAATTCTGGCCAACTGAAGTCTTAAAACTCTTTCCATAGATGTGAGAATCAGGTCATGTTGTCACCATCCTACACTTGCCTTCTAGAAATTAAGTGCTGGACTCTGCATGATAATTACATGTGTACGTTTTTGTTGTTTTTTACTTAGGAAAGTTGAGTAGACACCATTATAAATATTGTTTTTAATGAAACTATTGTTCTGGAAGTTCCAAAGTACTTCATTATTACAAAACGTCTCTTTAATAACTTCTGACTCTAAAATTCCATTCTTCTATTATTCCAAAGTCATGATTAAGAGCTTCTAATTTCTATGTGTCATTTAGTGGATTTTTTTCTAATGTCCAATGATGTGAAATGAAAGAAACTCCAGCTTTTCCAGGGGGTAATTCTAAGTGGCGTGTTGACTTATGTGGGTCAACTTTATAATGTTTGCAGATTTCTGTGCTGTCAGTCCTTTCTCTATTTAATGAACTTCAAGCCAATTCAAGCTATTAAATGGTTTGTAAAATTCCAGAAAAATTACTAATAGGCTCTCCCAGTCATTCAGACTAGCTCCAGCACACTCATTTAAGACAAGTTATATCTCCCTTTCTCACTTTCACAAGTCTCATTGACGCTTCAGAATGCCAATTGAACTTATTTCTTATTTTCTTTTCACAACCACCATCAAAGTCGAAGACTCTATGCTTCTCTCTCTGGCAACTGTCCCCTCGATTGATTGTATAACATATTCGTAATCTTATCTTCCATACTTGCCAAGATCATTTCTCTGTTTGCTTAGCACCAGCTACTTCAGCCCTTACATCCTGGGGTGCGCCTTTGTTCAAACAGCTCTTCCCACTATTCCTTCCCCACTTTGTCTCACTTTTTTTTTTGATAATTTTTTCCTTTTCTTTTTTATTTTATAAATAAATTTTTTGTTATTCTAATTTTTGTACATTTTTTTATCTCAGTTGTAATCCCCATGCACTTCCCACTACTATTTCACCCCTGTGCCATCACCACAGTCCCGTGTGCTCTTCCTGCCCCAGTTTTTATCTTGTCCCCTTCTCACCCTTCTTAGAAAGTCTCTGGTTTATAGTTGTTAGTTGATGTTCTTTTTTTACTTTATTACAATTTCTCTGTGTGTACACACACACACACACACACACACATTTCCTGACCCTTTACACTCTTGCTATGAGTGAAATCATTGGTATTTTTCTTTTTATTTCTGGCTTATTTCACTAAGCATGATTTTTTTCCAGTTCCATCCATATTGCCTGCCACAAATAGCATGAGTTTATCTTTTTGATTGCTGAGTAATATTCCATTGTATATATATTCTACATCTCTTCACTTTTAAAGCTCCTCTTCATCCTTCCATGCTTTCTGAAGCTCCGTTTTTTCCAAGTCCTGTCTTGACTTTCCTGTTCCCACAGAGATTTGCCTTTTTCTTACTACTCATAACAAATACCCACTGTTATTTTTATTGAGGCCTTAATAATGTGCCTAGTGAAGACTAATCCTACATTATTTCAACCCTGTATTGATATGCAGGCAGTTCATGATCTATATAAGTTCCTATATTTGTGGCAAATTCTCCTTAGTCTGGAGATGGTTGGTTCTAATGCTGTTTCACCTGCCATCATCTTGTACAGTGCTTGTAGGTAGGCTGGTGACTGCAGCCATATTTGTGTCACTTGATTCTGTGGTCTTGGGCTACTCATCTGTGAAACAGACTATTACTGCTCTCTTCAGAATCATTATAACAGTTAGTAATGCTCTAGGCAAAAGACACTTTCCTGATGTTGATACTTAGATCTCTTTTGGGCATCCTCAAATTTTGTTTGCTGTAGTAGGGACTCAGGAAATATATTTATGAAATGTTTGTTAAGAATAAAACTGCAACCAGCATAACAGTAACTTGAGGTTTCTTACCATTTAATGTGGAGCATAGTCTTTTAGATGCATTATGTAATTTTTCTCTTCATACATTCTTTATAGAACATATTGCAAATTCACATCATCTATAATGAGTATTTGAGTGACTCAACTCCACTGAATGTTGGCTATATTGATATCATGGGGATAAATACTTATGTGTCACAAGTCAGTATCACCTATAACAATCAGCAATTCATGGAGACAAATTTCTGCTATTCTGATCAGGTATGTCTCAAAGGAATGTTGCCATAAGTTAATTTTATCACTCTGCAAAATTTGCAAAATTATCACCACTATTTTTACCATGGTTATATGTACTTATATAAATCACTCTTTAAAGGGTTAGAGATGTGTGCAGTAGATGACACTCCTGAAAAGTTGTGTCTGAAACATACTGTAAAATACACCTCAGGGCCCTCACTGGTGGCACAATGGGTTAAAGCACAACACTTAAGAAGCTAAAGACACTTTAGCATGAGTTCGATCCCTGCTTGCCCCCGAGGTGATCCACATGGTGCAGCAGACCTCTCCTGACCCACCGGCTGCTCCCCGCAGCAGTGTACTTTGTCGATCTGCCTGTTCTGCTTCCCACTCTGTCTCTGGTGAACCCTCTCACTGCCCCTGCACCTTTGGCCTATACCCCAGTTCTGTATGCACAAATAGATAAATCTTTTTAAAAATGCAACTCAATAGAGGTTTTCCCAGTGTCACACAGAGTTGGATGATAAATGTTCTTATGAAATCCGTCTTAAGGGTTTCCCCAAGAAATTGTGCTGTGTATTAGGCTCTCTCAGGCTTCCATAAACAAATTTATTTATTTCTGAGGTAGGGGCTAAAACAAAAGAAAGAGTGATCCCCTAAAGTTTTTTTTGAGGGGGTTTCACCCTTTGTAACTTATTCAAATTGATAAATCTCATGTATTGCTAAAAATTTGTGCTAAACATCGAAAGGTCCCACCTGCATATAAGGTAAAATTACTTGCTAACAAATGAGTTATATAAATAGCAGGCTCTATTTTTATTTTTTAAAGATTCATTTACTTATGCATACAGAATTGGGGCACAGGTCAGAGGTGCAGGGAAGGTGAGAGGATTCTCCAGAGACAGAGTGGGGAGCAGAACAGGAAGATCAATGAAAGTACACTGCTGAGGGGAGCAATGGGTGGGCTAGGAGAGGTCTGCTGTGCCATCTGGGTCACCTCCCTGGCTGGAGATCGAACTAGTGCTGCAGTGACTGTGGCTAGCTTCATAGTGCTGTGCTTTAACCTTTTACATCACCAGGGAGGGCCCCTATTGGATATTTTAATGGCAGTCATTTTAGTTATCAGGACCAGAACCAACTCACTGGATGATAAATTAGCAGTAGAGTTATCAAGAATAACCGTGGAGGGAAAAGTATCCCAGTTCAGATTGATAAATCTACCAAACGAAGCACCCACTAACCCATGGGCAGAGGCTTAAAGAGAGAACATAGATCACTCTAGTTCCTGTCTTCTAAGTGACCAAGGAGTGCCCGCTGGGATTTGGAGTTTGGAAAAGCACTTTTGTGAGTGCTCCAGCTTCTTTTCTCAGTAGCCATTTCTAGTTCTCTATTTCATAATATTTTTCCTGGAGTACTGAGTTCAAAAGTTCAAAATTACAGTTCAGTTGAGATTGTCCAGAAAATCTTTGAACACCTGATGCTTCAGGGCAGCTCTCCATATTTGTGTCTGAAGTCAGTGTGCACTACAAGGGTGTCCTCAGATCCTCCTCCTGCTCTCAGGGAGAGGGATGAATACACTGCTTTATGTTAAACTGTAATTTAAGGTATGACTTAAATGAGATAAAAATATTCTAAATGTAATATTGTCTCTTCTTTTCTCACAGACACTAACAGTTAATTTGACTAACAAGAGTATCCGTCTAGAAAAGTTAACTAAGATTATGTGGATGGACGGTGGGCCAACAGTTCCCGCCACAACCACAAGCACCACCTCAACAACTTCTCTGCATTCTTCTACCTATACTACAACGAGCCGCACTCCTGTAGCCGTTACCAGTAGTTCTCCATTCACTAGTATGACCACTGCTACCACAGAAACTCTGATGACTAGTTTGCCTGAAACAGGCCTTACTACTGAGAACACTACCACTACCATAAAAACAGTCAGCAGCACCTCAACAACTACTACCCCAACAACCACAACCCCGTTCTCAACAGCCAGTCTGTTCCCTGCAACTACTACGATAGTTACACCTACTTCCACTGTTCCTAATGCCACTCCTGCAGCAAGCCCTACTACTGAGGACACTACTGCTACCGTAATAACAGTCAGCAGCACCTCAACAACTACTACCAAGGCAACCACAACCCCATTCTCAACAGCCAGTCCGTTCCCGGCAACTACTACGATAGTTAGAACTACTTCCACAGTTCCTAATGCCACTCCTGCAGCAAGCCCTACTACTGAGGACACTACCGCTACCATAACAACAGTCAGCAGCACCTCAACTACTGCTACCCCAACAACCACAACCCCATTCTCAACAGCCAGTCTGTTCCCGGCAACTACTACAATAGTTACAACTACTTCCACTATTCCTAATGCCACTCCTGCAGCAAGCCCTACTACAGAGGACACTACCACTACCGAAACAAAAGTCAGCAGCACCTCAACAACTACTACCCCGACAACCACAACCCCTTTCTCAACAGCCAGTCTGTTCCCGACAACTACTACGATAGTTACACCTACTTCCACTTTTCCTAATGCCACTCCTGCAGCAAGCCCTACTACTGAGGACACTACCGCTACCGTAATAACAGTCA